TCAGAAAAAGACACCTATACATATATGTAAAAGGAACAGGAATATTAACACATACACACATACACACACACACACACACACACACACACATATATATATATATATATATATATATATATATGTGTGTGTGTGACTATGTATACCGATGAGAGGTTTACGGTCACATCACGTTGAAACATCGGTTCCGTGTGATCAATGAATTTAAGCAACGTCAAGCCTGGTCAGTAACTAGATGGGTGACCACTTGGAAATGTCAGGTGGTAATAGTTCGGAATTGTTAATCGGAGAGAGAGAGAGAGAGAGAGAGAGAGAGAGTTAGAGAGAGAGAGAATTAGAGAGAGAGAGAGAGTTAGAGAGAGAGAGTTAGAGAGAGATAGAGAGACAGAGAGAATGGGTGCGATGGATTAATTGTCGTCTAAATTACGCAAAAAATAAAATAATACTGACATCTCATTTAACACATATATTTACCAGAGTTACACAAACATATCGAGAAATACTAAAGAACAATTTTATTTAATAAAATCGACATTGGCTTCAACTAAAAACCCAAAACGACTTCGGAATTTCCTGCAACTCTTTTGGACGGTCTCCTTGTTTAAGTTGCTGAATGCTGCCATAATCTTTGTCTTCATTTCATGTTTGATGTATCAAGGAGTTTTGTGGGTCTCTCACTCAACTGCGCCCCACACAATAATCAAGGGGGTTGCAGTCTGAGGAGTTAGTTGACCAGATATAAAGGATAATGTAGTCGCAGAAATTTTCTGACAGCCGTAACTGTGTTCTCCTTCTTTTGTGGCATGGTGTAGAGTCCTGTCGACAGATCTTTCAGCAGCTATCCTCTTGACACAAGGCAGCACTACTTCCTCGAGGCACTTGATATCGGCCTCCGTGTTGTATCTGAGGACCTGAACAAAAAATTCGAGAGTTTTTTTTCTTATCAGAACGATCAGAGTAAGTTTTCCAAGATGTTGTACCGTCATAATCACCATTAGACTCATCCAAAACATTCGAAATGCTTTTCACTGTCCTCAGATTGACACCCAAACACTCTGAAATGTTAGTACTGCAGCTTCTGTCGAGAATGCCGTTTCGAAATTTCTGACGGAGTGAATGGCGTTCACGTTTTTCTCACAAATGGCGCCCAACTGAGCCTACTATACTGTGCAGTCGACAAAATAAAAACAATGACCATTTGCGAAATTAAAAATATAAAATGGCGACATTTTACTCATCACACCCTATATATATATATATATATATATATATTTAGTTGGATAGATGTGAATTTGTGACCCTGGGTTTCACGCTTTGACGATCGCTAAAGCGTGAAACCCAGGGTCACAAACACATCTATCCAACCAAATATGTTAGCTCTATCTCTGATATTGAGCGCTTTCTAATAAGTACCGCGCATATAATATATAAATAATTATACATATATATATTTATTTATATTTATATACATTTTCACACACACACACACACACACACACACACACACACACACACACACACACACACACACATATACATATATATATATATATATATATATATATATATATAGGCCTAGTGGTTAGAACTTTCGCTTTCTGACCATGAAACCCAGGTTCGAATCTCACTATCAAGAAGAGTTTCTGACGTTATCAGTCTGGAGGGGAACGTCAGCGTGCGGCACCTTTAGAAAGTGCCTGAGAACCATATACCATATATGTATATGTGTGTGTGTGTGTGTGTGTGTGTGCATATATATATATATATATATATATATATATATATATATATATATATATATATATATCATCGGCGGCGGCGGCATCCGCCCGTCTCGAGAGGCGATGGAGTAGCGGTGCGCTACGAGCCTGGGCGGGATATATGGAGAACCAGGCCTGCCCAGACGTCTAGTTCCCCTTCTCGAAAAGGAAAGGATAAACCAATAAAGGTTTGGTACCCCGGTGGACGAAATAAAGGGTTTAGTTCGAAATTCAAATCACCTGAAGAAAGCCGGAGCGTACAACGGTCGAAACGTCGTGAATATGGTAATAAAGATGAGGGCAACCACCCGAAACAGTCGAATAGTGTAAATAATTGCAATACGTCATCTCAGAAATAGAGACAGATCCAGAAGAAGGCCGGATCGTACAACGATCGAAACGTCGTGAATATGGCAATAAAGACGAGGACAACAGTTTGAAAGATGCAAATAGTGTAAATAATTGCAATACCTCATCTCAGAAATAGAGACAGATCCAGAAGAAGGCCGGATCGTACAACGATCGAAACGTCGTGAATATGGCAATAAAGACGAGGACAACAGTTTGAAAGATGCAAATAGTGTAAATAATTGCAATACCTCATCTCAGAAATAGAGACAGATCCTTAAGAAGGCCGGACCGTACAACGATCGAAACGTCGTGAATATGGCAATAAAGACGAGGACAACAGTTCGAAAGATGCAAATAGTGTAAATAATTGCAATACCTCATCTCGGAAATAGAGACAGATCCTGACGAATGCCGGATCGTACAACGGTCGAAACGTCGTGAATATGGCAATAAAGATGAGGACAATAGTCCGAGCAATGTAAATAGTTTAAATAAATACAATACCTCATCTAAGAATTTTAGAAAATACATTTGATCTGTAGTTGAAGTCATACAATTGCGTTCAAATATATATTGTGTTGCAGCCATAAAATATTGTGTTCAAAATATTAATATTTAGGCATTGATTAACAAACAGAGGTTGATATATCACCAAGATCAAGCAAACCAAATCAAAACAAGGAAACGTATAATAACAATTGGAACAGTTGAAATTTCTGAATACATGTTGAAGAAAGAGGGCTTGGCGAATTTGAAACTTACAGGATATACTGAAGGTAAGTAAGGTGTAGGGAATTATCGAGTAACGTACCGAAAACCTATGTGCATACGGATAGCCACATAGAAAATAGGAGGGGATAGTACACGATAAATGTATAGAGATACAAACGATAGGAAGATGTGGATAACCATGACTGTTAACGTCTTGAAATGACACGGCGCATCAATGAATAAGTTAAATATTATCCCTTCAAAAGATTAGAATAATCGTTAAAATTACGAAACCTCTTGATTTGTTATCCATTATTTACACGAGACTTTTTAACACTTCTGTAGTACCGTTAGATGTTTGAACATCTTACAAAATGATTTACTACTCATAGAGCTACTGAAGACATGGCGGGAAACAGCATACTTGACGTGATTATGGGGAAACAGCATACTTGACGTGATTATGGGGACGAATAGCAGTATAAGAAAAAATACTTAAAGCAATAAAAAGACGGGAAGTTGTGGAGAGGCATGATTTTCTATATCCTGAAGAGATTTGACTGTGTATGTAATTGATGCTCAGAAACAGAGGCTATATTCCTCACCATACAATCCCAGGTTTCTTCAATTCATTTCGTTTTTTTTTTTTTCGCTGCTGGCTAAAATACCTCCCCTTAAATTTGAAATTCCTCCCCTGGGGACCAAGTACCTCCCACTTGAGAATCACATTTCTCTCTATCTCTTTCCCTCCTTCTCTCCTCTCTACCCCTCTTTCTTTCCCCAATAAGCACATAATCACACTCTCCCCAATATCCACATAAACACGAAGCTTCGCTCACTGCTGCAAAATTTACGATTTTGCTCGCAATTTAAATTTATGAACTGATTGTTTTGTCAGGAACAGGTTTATATTTGGATAATATTTATACAAATTAATGTGCATATTTAACAATGTTTATTGGTATTGATCTGCCCACTTGCCATTGCTATCAATGGATCAAAAAATGCAGGGCAACGAATGCAACTTCCTCTTGTTCCCTTGTGTATAATATCAAGCGATTTGAATAATCATAATGCAATAATTAGATGTGGATGTATAGATTCTCTTCTATATTTATAAAACCCTTTATAAATATTTCTACGTACGATCTGACGTCATTAAAACCTTCCGGAAACGCCGAGGAAAAGATTAATTGTCAGTTCTACTATGCGAGTTCTCAAGTTCGACTTTTTCAGGGTTCTACACAGGCTGGATTAAACGCTTAGTCAGATCTGTCGTATGTCAAAGGTTCACGAGGCTCATAAACTCGATAGAATAATTCTGGTTACATAATATAGATCTACCATGTTGTTAAAATAAAATAGATTGAATGAAAGAAAGAGATATGAATATGGAGAAAACGTTTTGATCAGATGTTGCTTGGATTAAATGAGTGGATTAAGGGATTTGTGACTACAGAATAGATAGTGCTGAAAAGTCATCATCATCATCATCATCATCATCATCATCATCAGTCCCGGTCCCTGGGGTGGTTGAAGCGACCTACGATTGAGGAGACGAAACTGTTCAGAAGCTGTCGGTAGTTGTGTTGTGCTAGCACAAAAATGAAAGTCATCGTGACCGAGAGTTCGATCGTACTGGGGTTGTTTAGCAACAGATCTCCGGTTGTTGAAAAGAAAAGAAATAAAATCTAATGAGACTGAGCAGCTGTCTGCAACAAGGAATAATTAGCCATCCTAAGAGGTGGGCATACTCTGAATATATATATATATATATATATATATGTTGCATCGGCCTCTAACACAAGGGAATTACACCGGTTCTCACTATATATAGTGCCAGTAATACCTACCCGGTGTAAGCAGCGACAGTACTAACTACAACTGCCTAGCTGAGTAGTACCCGTTTCCTACCTTTGTATCTGTGATGTTAAATACACTTGTTCTTTAAACCAACTTCGACTTGATTTTCTTATTTTTACTATTGTGCCACGACACAACAATATATATGAAGAAATATAGTTTAAGGGTGTGCTATATTTATGGAATAAAGTGCTCAATATCAGAGATAGAGCGTATGTAAATATAAATATAAAAGTGAACATTGAAGTCAAAACTTAGAGGCGACAGGCTGTTTCATGCTAGGCGCAATTGTCAGGCCGCCTGACGATTGCGCCTAGCATGAAGCAGCCTATCTATCTATCTATCTATCTATCTATCTATCTATCTATCTATCTATCTCTTTCCACATGTATCTATATAACTCTTTCTCTATCTATCTATCTATCTATCTATCTATCTATCTATCTATCTATCTATCATAAAATGAGGAAAAAAGCAATCTTTATCAATTTCACATGTTTGAAAATCAAAAGTTTGGGGACTAGAATGAGTCGGTTTTTAAAATTTTCGTTGAAATATAACTTTGAATCATCCCCCTCCATGAATTTCTGATGAAGCTTAATAGCAAAACATTTCAAATTCATAAAGATTCCCAAATTATCGCTTATTTTATCATTCTCTCATGCTAATCAATATTTTGCACTCATTCTAGAGTTCAAAAGCGTCTCTTAGCCCTTGTGGGTGACGAGTTATTCTCCACCCTTCAACTCTTCTCCCACAGACGGGATGTGGCAAGACCCTCGCGTCTCTACCGCTACTTTCATGGAAAGTGCTCGGACGAACTACATTCACTGGTCACACAAAGAGAAACTTTCATATCAAGAATAGGCTATGCCACTTGCATAGTAGCAACTCATCGACATTCCCTCTTTATTCCATCGGTAAGAAGTAAGTTCCACTCGAGCAGCAGCTTCGCGTGAACCACTGCCTTGTGGAACCGACTCTTAACAGGATGTTTCCCCGGTCGCTACAATGGTAACCTATTCAAGGTCAGGGTTAACTGTTATCTCCGTCATCTAATCACACAAATGGCCTCCTAATGTAACCTCCTACTTCAAGTGGCCTCCGTGCATTGTAAAAAAAAAAATCTTTTCTTTCTTTTGAATTACTATATTCGCCTTTCTTTTTCTTGTTTCTTTTTGTCAGTAACCCTTTTTCTTTCTGTCATCCTCCATTTCTTTTCTTTCATTGCTTCTCTATAGATATTCTTTCTTTCTTCCTCCGTTACTTACTTTCTTTCTTTCTTTCTTTCTTTCTTTCTTTCTTTCTTTTGAATTACCATATTCTCCCTCTATATTTCTTTTTCTGGATGCTTCTTGTCAGTAACCCTTTTTCTTTCTGTCATCCTCCATTGCTTCTCTCTCGTTGTTTCCCTGTAGTTATTCTTTCTTTCTTTCTTTTTTTTTCTTTCTTCCTTCCTTTCTTTCTTTCTTTCTTTCTTTCTTTCTTTCTTTCTTTCTTTCTTTTGAATTACCATATTATCTCCTCTTTTTCTTTCTTTTGATGATTTTTGTTAGTAGTCCTTTTTCTTTCTATCATCCTCCATTCCTTCACTCTCATTGCTTCTCTATCGCTTGTCTTTCTTTCTTTCTTTCTTTCTTTCTTTCTTTCTTTTGTATCACATATCAACTTCCTCACCCTCTCTCTCTTGTCTTGTTTCTGCTTACCTTTTTATCGTTCTTTTTTCTCACTAATTTCTTTCTTTCTTTCTTTCTTTCTTTTTTTTTTCTTTCTTTTGAATTACTATATTATCCCCTCTTTTTCTTTCTCTTTATGATTTTTGTTAGTAGTCCTTTTCTATCATCCTCCATTCCTTTTCTCTCGTTGCTTCTCTATCGCTTGTCTTTCTTTCTTTCTTTCTTTCTTTCTTTCTTTCTTTCTTTCTTTCTTTCTTTCTTTTGAATTACTATATTATCCCCTCTTTTTCTTTCTTTTGATGATTTTTGTTAGTAGTCCTTTTCTATCATCCTCCATTCCTTTTCTCTCGTTGCTTCTCTATCGCTTGTCTTTCTTTCTTTCTTTCTTTCTTTCTTTCTTTCTTTCTTTCTTTTTTCTTTCTTTCTTTTGAATTACTATATTATCCCCTCTTTTTCTTTCTTTTGATGATTTTTGTTAGTAGTCCTTTTCTATCATTCTCCATTTTTTTTCTCTCGTTGCTTCTCTATCGCTTGTCTTTCTTTCTTTCTTTCTTTCTTTCTTTCTTTCTTTCTTTTTCTTTCTTTCTTTTGAATTACTATATTATCCCCTCTTTTTCTTTCTTTTGATGATTTTTGTTAGTAGTCCTTTTCTATCATCCTCCATTCCTTTTCTCTCGTTGCTTTCTATCCTTGTCTTGTCTTTCTTTCTTTCTTTCTTTTTTCTTTCTTCTTTTCTTTCTTTTGAATTACTATATTATCCCCTCTTTTTCTTTCTTTTGATGATTTTTGTTAGTAGTCCTTTTCTATCATCCTCCATTACTTTTCTCTCGTTGCTTCTCTATCGCTTGTCTTTCTTTCTTTCTTTCTTTCTTTCTTTCTTTCTTTCTTTCTTTTTTTCTTTCTTTCTTTTGAATTACTATATTATCCCCTCTTTTTCTTTCTTTTGATGATTTTTGTTAGTAGTCCTTTTCTATCATCCTCCATTCCTTTTCTCTCGTTGCTTCTCTATCGCTTGTCTTTTTCTTTCTTTCTTTTCTTTCTTTCTTTCTTTCTTTCTTTCTTTCTTTCTTTTGTATCACATATCAACTTCCTCACCCTCTCTCTCTTGTCTTGTTTCTGCTTACCTTTTTATCGTTCTTTTTTCTCACTAATTTCTTTCTTTCTTTCTTTCTTTCTTTTTTCTTTCTTTCTTTTGAATTACTATATTATCCCCTCTTTTTCTTTCTTTTGATGATTTTTGTTAGTAGTCCTTTTCTATCATCCTCCATTCCTTTTCTCTCGTTGCTTCTCTATCGCTTGTCTTTCTTTCTTTCTTTCTTTCTTTCTTTCTTTCTTTCTTTCTTTCTTTCTTTCTTTCTTTCTTTCTGTGCGTATTTAGGTTTTTCGTTAATATGACAATGTTTTCATATTAACCCGGGCAAAATAAAAAAAAAAAAAAAACTTAAAGAAACCTTTGAAATTAACTCCATCTCACATTTTACTTATGAAGTGAACATTAATAATACCATTCAAGTCCTTGACATTCTAACTGATGCTAATAATCATTGTTTTATCACTTCATTATATAAAAGACCTATAAGCAAAAACTCGTGTCTTCTTAATTATAAAACTGACTGATCTCACAGATATAAAATTAGAAGTTATAAAAACATGATTAACGATGCGAAAATGATGTCTTTGTACAGATTATATTATGAAGAATTAAGCAATATAAAATAAACACATATCAACAATAATTCCCCAAATCTTTTCGTCGATGATGAAGTAAAATTAACTTTAAAGACATTTAGAAAACATGATACAAGCAATCATCTTGATATAAACAAAAATAAGGACATCATTATTTTTGTTGTATTATAATCAGATGCATCCTAATTATAAACAAGATGAAAAAAACATTAAAAATATAACTCGACTTTATGTAAGAGTTGATGATCCTAACAAATACCTTACTATAAAATATTAAAAACATGTAATCTCCTTATCTATTTTGGAAGATTGTATGTCCAATATTAATAATCCCATTGGTCACACACGCACTACACTTTCACGTCGGTTGACTTGTCACTCATCGAAACTTTGCAAAATTCGTGTATATGTCGATAATAACATTAAAAATAACCAAAATATTAACAAACTATTAACAAAAGATAAATTTTAGTAGATAATACCATAATATTATACAGCACTTAAAAAAAAATACCTAAAATTTCTAGAAGCAATTATAATACAAAAAGAAACGATTCCCATTGAATAAAATATCTTTTTTCCAGGAGATCGTATATAGAAGTGGGAATGAAATCTTCAATATCAAAATATACTTTTCCATAGCCGAAAGTAACCGAAGAAAAAAGTAAAAAAAAAAAAAAATAAAAAAATAAATAAATAAAATAAAATAAAATAAATAAATAAATAAAAAATAAAATAAAATAAAATAAAATAAAATAAATAAAAAAGCCCACTTCCCCAAAAACAAACTTTGAACAGATTTTATTGAGAATATCAATCCCAATATCTACAACATCAATACGGAAATTGTAAAAAAAAAAAAAAAAAAAAGTATAATAAAGAATTAAATAGACGTGTTGTACCATTTAGCAATTAACAGTAATTCGATTTGGCTAACTTGATGCTTCCTCTGTAGTTAAATGTTATAGCTCGTCAGGCTATATGACGGTTACGTGTAGGATACAGGTTCGATTCCTGTCGAGGGACATAAATTTTATGAAATTTCTCAGACATTCAGGCTGTTGTTAATATTGTTTATGATAACCAGAGCGTTTACTTAAATAGATTTATCTATAAAAATAACGTATAAACAAAATATATATATATATATATTTTTACAAAATCATGTCTATGCAACTGAATATGTTAGCTCTATCACTGATATTGTGCGCTTTTCACTAAGTACTGCGCATATAAAACAATATAAAATAATATATATATATATATATATATATATATATATATATATGTAAAAAAAATTATTGTATAGACTAAATTGATGATTGGAAAAAGAGGCACCTAATATTTAATATAGTGGTATTTATTTATAATATATGTATTCTTACAGAGAAGTATTAAAACTTTGTAACTTACAATTGGATTTTCAGTGTTATTTTTTTAGAAAAATAATTTGTTGTTTTCCTTTATTTTTAAACTTTTTCATACTTTAACTGGTTTCGCTTAGCATTTCAAAAAGTTTTTAATTGTTACTATCTCCATGTGATGCTTATGTTTTGTACCAATGAAAAAAAATCAAGGGACGTAACTGGCTATATATGTCGTTTATGGTAAGGAGAATTTAGAATGCAATGAATTAAGTATGGGTTTGAACTTGTTGATAAAAAAATGTTTCTTTATTAATCCGCCTTTGTTCAGTGGTTCTGTAGTTGCACTGGTAGAAGGGAATGTCATTAAAATTTGGTAGATTTTGTCCTCCGCATTTCTCTGTATGTTGACTAAGGTGTATTTTTCTAGTGTTGGGGTCCTTGATTTGTTGGCGATGAACTATTATCCTTTGCTGGAATGACTGGCCGGTTTGGTCAATGTAATGTTCATGGCAACCTTTGCATATAATTACGTATATTAAGTTCTCTGAGTCGCACGAGAAATTTTGAATTTTGATCCGTCTTTGAAATGAAATTCATGGCCTTCTAATAGATAGTTGCATACCTGCCCTGTGGTCGGTTGCATTTTTCTTCACCTGAGGGTCTTTAATTGTGTCCTGCAGTTTTGCATTGATCAGTATCTTTTTAGTGATTTATGTTGTCGTTTACATTTTATGATTGGATGTTTTTGTAATAAGGTTTTCCATTTTTTGTCCTTTAGCAGGATTGATAGATTTAGTTGTATGTGGGTGTAGACCTCTGTGTTCCTTGCGCTGAAAGTTGAGATATAAGGGATAACCTATTTTTCATTTTTTTTACCTTTTGCTTCTCGGAGTGTGTGGTTATTGTTTTGCTTTTTCAATACTATTGTCGACCAAACTTTGAGAGTATTTTCTCTTGATGAGTATTCTTTTCATCTCTTCTCGTTTGTAGCCTCTTGTGGTTGTGTTTAAGACTGTTGTACATGGCTCTCCAACTCCCTGACCACGTTATTTCATCCGCCTGCTCAAGCTCGTCAGGTATGTCACGCGCTGTTTTTCCTTGCCTCTCTTTTCGTATATTCGACCCGTGAGTATCAGATTCTCCAGACCCTCCTTCCTCATTATGTGTCCCAGAAACATCAGCTGCCTCTTTCTGATGTTAAGTACAAGCCTTCTTCTTGTTTGTAAGCTCTCTAAGAACTCATAGTTGCTCACACGCTCGGTCCTTGATATCCTCAGCATCCTTCTGTAGAACCATATTTCCGTCGTATCGAGTCTCATCTTCATCTTTGAGGAAATCGTCCAATATTCGCTGCCGTAAAGAAGAACAGATGTCACGTAACAGCTCAGTATTCTTTTCTTCATTACCAAATAAATCCTGCTGTCTCGCAATACTCTGCCCAGCTTTTGGAATGTGTCCTTGGCCATCCCAATACGTCTATGGTTCTCAGTATCGCACTTACCGTCTTCTGTCAAGACGCTTCCCAGATATTTAAACTTCCGCGTCTGCTTGATTCTTGTGTTCCCGACCCGCAAATCGCATTTCAGGCTCATCCTCTTACTGATGATCATGCATTCTGTTTTCTTGTAGTTTATGCTTAGTCCTTTCTTCTCACTCCCCGTCCTTACCTTCTGTAGCAGATTTTGTAATTTCTTTTCCGTGTCGGCTATCAGTACTGTGTCGTCTGCGTATCTTATGTTAAGATTGTGGCCACCAATTCTAAATTCCGGTAGGGTTTCCCATTCTCTCAGAATTGCCTCGTTGTATAGATTGAACAGGTCGGGTGAGAAGACGCATCCTTGCCTTACGTCCCTTTCTATTTATGTGTATTCACTGAACTCGTTCCCTACGTGTATGCATGCTGTTTGCTACTAGTATAGGTTCTTGATTATTATATCCCTCCCAAATATATCAAGGTTGCTGAGCAGTTCCATCAGATCATTGCGGCGTACTTTGTCGACGGCCTTTGCGTAGTCTATGAAAAATAGGTACACGTCCTTCTGCATTTGTATCGCTCTTTCTGATAACATTCTGAGCATGAATATCGCATTCCTTGTTCAGGTGTCTTTTGACGAACCCACACTGTTCTTGTCCTACCTATGGCCTGATTCTGCAGCGCTCTCTATTCATCAGAATACGGATGATTAGTTTTGTCATATGGCTCATCAGGCTTATTGTTCGGTGGAGTTCGCATTCGTCTGCGCCTGGTTTCTTAGGCATAGCTATGAAGATAGATCTGCTGATATTTTTTTAGTTTATGGCATCCCATGACTAAGTTGGTATATGTTGGTACAACCTTTGTCCCCATATCTGTTCCTGATTTTGTCGGTAGAGTGTTTCGTTGAACATGAAATAATTGTTTATTAAGATAAATTCTAGGCTTTCTATAATGAAATTTCCTTTGATACGATTTGGTAGCACACTGGGAAACGTTTCTAGCCAGTATTTTATGTCCTCTATTCCGTATTAATGCGGGATGTTGCTATATAAATTCACAACATCCATTCAGACCATATAAGTATTATTACACTATAGAAACACTGAACAAAGGTGGATTAATAAGGAAACATTTTTCATCAACAAGTTCAGACCCATACTTAATTCATTGCATAAATAGATTCTGCCAAATTCTCCTTACCATAAACGACATATAAAGCCAGTTACAGACCTTGATTTTCATTTTTTCATTGGTACAAAACATAAGCATCAACACGTGGAGATAGAAACAGTTAAAAACTTTTTGAAAAGCTAATCGAAACGGGTTAAAGAGGAGAAGAAAAGAAAACAAGGCTACTTTTACTTCTATTTGCTTCAATCGTGTATTGAGCACTTTTTAATACCACTGTTTCCTGATTCAACTCTGGCCATTAAATTTCTGTTTTATGTATTGGTCGGTCCTGTTTGAAATAACAAAATATATTGCACTTTCCCAAGACACACGACAAATCAATAGTTCACCTTTCAAACCAGATGTATAAAAGGAACTGGTCAGGTGATTAGTTGCACAGCGACCCTACGAACAAAGCCGTTTGTAGAGATGATAATAATGATGATAGCAGGTGAATTTCACCTTGTAGTGAATGTTTTCATTATAAATATATACATTAACTCATTTGGGGGGATGTAAGATTTTATTATGCAACTCAGTGATAGTTCATCATTTTTTAAATAAATATATATGCTCCTTTTCTTCATTAGGACTAAATCCTTGTGGAGAATTAGGCCACAGTTTGGTGCGTCTGTGCTTATTGTAGTAAGGAATGTTTACTTTCTACATCTATGTGTGCAGAGTAGAGCAGATATCGGCGCGCGTATTGGAATTAGCGTGCTGAGTTCAAATTCTGATCGAGTTCACTTTCGACAGATAATCTCGAGATATATGAATCAGACTGGGTACTGTATGCTTGGTTAGCCACAGGTCTAGAAGGTCGACAGTTCTCAATAAAAAACCGGTTGTTCGATGAACTGAAAATTGTATCCCGAGTAAAAACCTATTTGCTACAGAAACCTTTAGTAGCAGCACATAATGTGGTGATGGCATAATTCTTATTCGTCACGGGGGGATATAAATTTATATAATGGTATAATTAGTACTTTTTACTTTTTTTTAGATTTTATATATATATATATATATATATATATATATATATATATATATATATATATATATATATATATACCAGCATTTTCCGGCGTTGCCCGTGCTTGATTCAAAAATCGTACGACTCATACAGCAATCGCTATCACTTGACTTTGCTGTGCTGATGTTGCTACATGCCTTACTTCTTGCCTATCTCACACTGCAATTATTTTCTAAGCTCTGTACTAAACATTAAATCTGTTACGAAAAAAGAACTAAACAAAATGAACACAAAACGATCAGCTTTTAAAAAAAGGACTCGTAACTGGAAAAAAACACCGAATGAAAAAAGAATGTTAACAAAAAATACTTTTTCACACCCAACCCAGTTCTGTGGAATCAGAATCAACGTTGATTTTAAGCAAGAGAATGAGCCAATTGGTGTAAAGTGCCATGCAGATTTAAATTTTTCCCAATTGTGACGAATGCAGCTGTCGATGTTTTTTGCATGCTAGTTAACATTCGTGTCAGTCAGCTGTTGGCGTTCACGCTGGCCAATAGAATCTTCCTTCCTATTCGTGGCAGCCAGCTATAGGCTCTCACTCTGGCCAGAACAAAATTATTTTCACTATCGGTGGGAGTTGGGAAATACAACTAACTTGGAGCATGTGCATGCTAATTTTGGTGCAAATCCGTCGAAGATTGCGGCCGTGCATTACACACACACATCCTGCCTTACACACACACACACACACACACACACACACACACACACACACACACACACACACACACATATATATATATATATGGATGGATGTGAGTTTGTGACCCTAGGTTTCACGCTTTAGCGATACTGACGATCGCTAAAGCGTGAAACCCAGGGTCAAACTCACATCTATCCAACCAAATATGTTAGCTCTATCTCTGATATTGAGCGCTTTCTAATAAGTACCGCGCATATAATATATAAATAATTATACATATATATATTTATTTATATTTATATACACTTTCCATATATATATATATATATATATATATATATATATCGGGTATAACAACAAAAGTGTCCAAATAGTCTAGCAGCAAAATTGTCCAATTGTAAGATTAAGCTTTGAACCGTTTTATCTTTAAAATGATTAAAGATACCTTACTGGAATTCTCCGAGGTTTTTATAACACTACTGGACTCTACTTTGAGCAATAAGAATTTCTAATTACTCTCCAAGCTTAACAGAAGAATCGTGATGAAATAGATCATAAACGAAAATGATATGCTCATCATTAATTAATCATAGCTAAGGATCGGACGCATTGAAACAAAAAAATACACACACACACACACACACACACACACACACACACACACACACACACACACACATATATATATATATATATACACACACACGTGTGCGTGTGTGTGTGTGTGTGTGTGTTATTCCATGATCATTTTGCAACTTATTCAAGATGATCTTCGCCCACTCTAACCTTCTAACTTTCTGTCCTGGAGTAATAAAATGTCTTACAGGTTTTACGTACGATTTCCATTTCAAGCCTTTTTTTTTTCACTACGCTTTAGACTGTCATAGCTGAAACTTCTCTCTTACGTCTTTTGGATTGATTTAAATCGTTTCTAATTGATCTTTTTAGATCAAAGTTCAAATGATGAGCCCTCTTTCTTTTGTGATCTCCTGATCCAATTTTCCTCTCTATTGTTCCCTCTTTTTTGAAATTATTCACCGTTCTCTTAATGGAACTTGAATCTTGATCTTGAATGAAATTTGACGAGGGAAGCCAAAGTATTAATGTTGGTACCATAACTGAAGGTCTGAACGATTTCTCCCCTCGCCATTGTCCAGTTGGGAAGACAGTGGGTCTAATACAAAACAATTTGAACCTATTCTTTTCTAGCTGAATATGTCAAAGGGTTTTTAAGTGATTCTTACAGCAAGTAGTGTCAAAATGGCTAAAACTCTCATCTAACAACCTGGAAAAAAGAAACTGAATTAGTTTAGTGCTTTTTAGATGTTAAGCATTTTGCGGGATGGACAATTATGTTGTTACATGATTTAGACAATTTTGCCCTTACACTCGGTATATAAAGGTATATTTTCGTATTAAATATGATTAGCTTATTATTTTTTTATGTTCAGTTTGTTTATTAGTAGAATTTTACGTTGACGCAGTGAAAGACATAAAATGGAGTTGAAGTAGTGACGCGATTATTTTGTGCAAGGAAAGCAGTTGTAAATATAACGAAACCTAAGAAGACGAACGCATAAAGGAAAAATGACAATAAATAAATGAAGGAGCTGATAAAATGTAGAACAAAATACAAAGATAAGGAATTAAATAAAAGTAGTGAAAAAGTATAAGAAAGAAAAGGAGGAATATGAAAAAAAATAAAAAAATAAAACAAACTTGTTTTTAGATATTTCTTCCGAAAAGTGGAATAAGATATAGCATTATCATGTCGATAGAACGTTCTCGCAATCTCTCGTTTCAGTCGAGACGTGATACGGGAAGTTAAGATTAAAAGCCAGCTTGACTTATGCATCAACAATAACAATAATGATAACAGGAGTTAGAACGAATCAGGTTTTTCCTACAATTTCACTGTTTTGTTTACTTTCTTTTTCATTTGATTATTTTCTGTTTTCAGTCTTGACATTTTCTTTCATTATTCCTCCCTTGCTTTGTTTCTTTCTTTTCCATTTGTAATTTTCATTTTCTTTAATTGTTATTTAGTCTTTTTCTTTCTCGTTTTCCGTTTGCTGTTTTCTTTCTTCTTTCTTTCTTTCTTTCTTTCTTTCTTTCTTTCTTTCTTTCTTTCTTTCTTTCTTTCTTTCTTTCTTTCTTTCTTTCTTTCTTGTTGCCTCTTTAATTTTTATTTTGAGGTTTCTTTTATTCAGTTTGCCATTTTCTTTCTTTCTTTCTTTCTTTCTTTCTTTCTTTCTTTCTTTCTTTCTTTCTTTCTTTCTTTACACTCCCATTACTCTTTCTTAATTTCTTTCTTTTCTAGTTGCATCTTCAATTTTCATTTGAGGTTTTTTTTATTCCGTTTGCCGTTTTGTTTGTTTGTTTGTTTCTTTCTTTCTCCTCCCAATATCTATCTATCTATCTATCTATCTATCTATCTATCTATCTATCTATCTATCTATCTATCTATCTATCTTTCTTGTTGCCTCTTTAATTTTTATTTAAGGTTTTCTTTTATTCAGTTTGCCATTTTCTTTCTTTCTTTCTTTCTTTCTTTCTTTCTTTCTTTCTTTCTTTCTTTCTTTCTTTCTTTCTTTACACTCCCATTACTCTTTCTTAATTTCTTTCTTTTCTAATTGCAGCGTTTTTTATTCCGTTTGCTGTTTTTTTTTCTTTCTTTCTTTCCTTTGACATTTTCTTTCCTTTCATGTTTCCGTGCTTACTTTTCTTTTCTTTTCTCTTCCCATTTTTTTTTTCGACTTTATCTTTTACACTGCCTCCTTTTCATTCTCTCAACCCTTCCCCATATTTGTTTCCCTCCTTTCTCGTTTTCTTCAAACGACACGATAAAAAACATCAACTTCTTTTGAAAGTGGGCGCTTTTGAATTGTGATGTCTTCCAATGCTTTCCTTACAGTTAACCTCACGTTTCGCAACTATAACTTGATTGTCAATTAACAGGAAATAACAAATTAGGTATAATATCTATTTTCAATCAGTTTAGATAATTCAAGAGAAATGTGATTAAGGTTTTTCCAGTATTCCTCCAGGATTAATTTCCATGCTTTAACATCCTTTCAAAACTCGCAAAAGATATAGCAGCAATTTTTCCAGCTGTTGACTGAATGAAGTAAATACAGTCGTCAAGCTTGGTATAGCTGAACTCTATTCTACTTTTGTCATAGTAACTTGCAAGATTGAATTGAATGGCGATAGAACAGAGCGTTGTTTGATTTTAAACTATATTTTAACAAAAGGGAAAAGGAGAGAGATAAAATTTGTTAATTGGAATTCGTAAGCGCAAAGACAGGGAGAGTTGGATTTATGCCTTATTAAATGATACTTATAACAATCAGAAATTGCACTCAAAATTTACAGAGAGCAAGGGGCTTTCGATTCATGCCTTCCTAAATGTTATTTTTGGCAGAGAGATTCAAGAAGAGTGTACAGGAAAATTGAATTTATGACTTTTTAAACAGTATTTTTTAAAAAGGGAATACAAATATTTTTCAATTAAATTTGATAGAGTGCCGGGAAATTTAGATTCATGCCTTACTAAACGCTGTTTATACAAGAGAGAGATAAGAAGTGTCTACAAAAGAATTCGATTCATGCCTTTCTCAACTTTATTTTTAGCAGAGGGAAGTAAGAAGTGTAAACAGGGAGAGTTTTATTCATGCATTTTTAAATGATTTGTTTAACAAAAATGATACGAGTTTTTTTTATTAATTTTTAATTTTTTTTTTTTTTAGCTCAGATTGGACAGAGTGCAAGGAAATTTAGATCCATCCTTTTCTAAATGATATTTTTTAACAAAGACAGATAAGAAGTGTGTTTAGGGATAATTCGATTCATGCCTTTCTAAACTCTATCTTTACTAGAAGAGATCCAAGAATTATCAGATACGAAAACAAAGAGTGGAATTCATGTTTTGTTTTGTTTTTTTCAAATGTGGTTTTAGCAGAAGACATAAAACCACTGACAATGATATGGGAAACAGCTCAGGGAGATTTTCTTTTATGCCTTCCGAAACAATATATTAAACTGAAAAGATACTAGAAACATGGATCAACCGGACTGCAGAAACAGGCAGGGAGAGTTATATTCATGCCTTTGTAAGCACTGTTTGTTATTCAGAATACAAACTTAGAACGCCACCGTGCACAGCGGTTTGGTATCTAAATATTATGAGTTTTCGCCATTTTCATTCACTTGCATGGAGGGTTAACCAAATAGACTGGATAGAGTGCAGGGATATTTACATTCATACCTTTGTGTAAATTGGAATATGAATTCAGTTCGCTGTATTTCGCACCGCCAGCTTCATATCTAAATGCTTTGAGATATCGCCAGTCGCAGCCAATAGTTTTTAACGTGTAAGATTTTCGAAGTGAAATCAGTCGTGCTGCATATTCAAAAATAAAACTGCAAGTTATTAGCATTGCAGAGATAAGAATTCAAAGATTCCTTTCCAGATGTTTTTCATTACATTACTAGTTTCAACAGCAGAAAACTAATTGATACCATTTCGCAACACTATCGTCAGTCATCTTTTAAGCGACTTCATAATTTCTAGCTCCCGAAATATTTTACTATTCTCAGCAAAGAACTACTCTACGTGGCCTTTGCGATCTTCCAGGGAAATTATTTCTTTCAGTTAGAGAATTCTACAGGGTGTCCGATAAAAAATCGGAAATTTTAGATTTACTATAAGATGAAAAAATTACCTTACATATAAAAGAATTAACTATAAATTTTGCTATATGAATGAAGTAAAAAATTGCTAACATATAAAAGAATTAACTATAAATTTTGCTATATGAATGAACTAAAAAATTACCTCACATATAAAAGAATTAACTATAAATTTTGCTATATGAATGAAATAAAAAATTACCTAACGTATACATTTTTAACGATTCGTTATTGTTATCAAGTTTTCAACGTGACATGCTTGTTCTCTTTAAAGAAGACCATCCATCTTGGAAACTGAAAAAATACAAAGATATTTTTCCAGAGTTCTTTAGTTTGAACACCACATGTAACATTTGTGTTTTAGTTCTGTTTTAAGATACTAATTTTCTCTCCTTTGTTTTTGTTTCAAATAACTGTAACAAAAATTCCAACCATTAAATAAACTGTGGCCAAAATGTACCAAATTACCTGTTAATTTTTTTTTTGGTAAGGTACCCCGTATAAAGAGAAGAATACATCGTAATCAGAAAAGGTCGTAGATTAAAATCCGACAAATAAACCAGAGTGTCATTTATTGAATCACCAAAAACAGATTGAATGGAATCTTATTCTGGTGGAAGATTACGAGATTTCTCTAAAGCACACATTGATCCTTTACATAAATTCTTCTCTGTATCGTTCTCCTTCAGGACATTGGTGATCATGACTCTCCACAACTTCCTATCCTTATAGCGTTTAGCAATATTTATATTTTTTACTATTCCCCACTCACTATACGCAGCCTCCTTAGGTAAGTTACTCAATGTTTCCCGTCACTCTCACCTTTAACCCTAGAACACTAACCATCAATTAAAATTACACCACTACTAACCATGGGTATATCATACCTGATTTTGAAAATATCAAAAAAAATATTAAATATAAATCTTTATTTGAAATATTTTACATGCAGGCACTTTAAACTTTGTACTTTGAGTTAACATTAATAGGAACGGAAAAACATATTATTTAGGTAAGAAAATCAGGTGCTGAAAATTGTAATTAAAAATAAGAAAATTTACGCTGGGTACCATATGCCCATGGTTAGTGTTCTAAGATTAATAAATACTGTGAGTATCAAATTCTCTAGGCCTTCTGTTTTCATTATTCATCCTAGAAATTACAAGTATCACTTTCTGATTCTAAGTATGAGTGTACGTTCTGTTTCCATTGTTCTCGAAGATACCTTATTCCATAAATGGTCCGTCCATTGCATTCTAAACATCATTTTGCCTGGCTTCCTCTTCGTCTATAAGGGAATTGTTCAGCATTCACTGTCTTATAGGAGTACTGATATTGCATCGCAGTTCAGCACTCTTTCATTTGTTTCTAGCAACATTTTTCTGTTTATTAGTATTTTTTTTTAGTTTCTGGAAAGTATATTTTCGTATTCCAAATGTCTTTGGATTTCGTTGTCACATTTTACGGAGTTTTTTAAAACATTTTACGGTTATGTTTTAACAGGCTACAGAAAATGTGACATTGAAATAGGAAGTACCGTTTGAAGTGGAAAAGATATCTTCCATGAAATAAAAACAAATAATTAATGAACAGAGAATGTATTCGTTTGTTTTTGCTATCTCCCCAGGCCGGACAATTGGCCGAGAGACATTTGGCCGAGAGACATTTGGCCGAGAGACATTTGGCCGAGTGACATTTGGCTGAACGGACAACTGGCCGAGGGATATTTGGCCGAGAGACATTTGGCCGACTGACATTTGGCCGAACAGACATTTGGCTGAACGGACAACTGGCCGAGGGATATTTGACCGAGAGACATTTGGCCGACTGACATTTGGCCGAACAGACATTTGCCGAGAGGATAAATGGTCGAGAGACATTTGGCCGAACGGACATTTGGTCGAACGGATATTTGGCCGAGAGACATTTGGCCGAGAGATTTTTGGCCGAACGGATATTTGGCCGAGAGACATTTGGCCGAGAGACATTTGGCCGAGGGATATTTGGCCGAGCGACATTTGGCCGACTGGCATTTGGCCGAACGGACATTTGGCCGAATGGACATTTTACTGAAAAAGTACAAGTAAAAATAGTAACAAGCAATACTTTAAGTATTTTAATTAGCACCATTATAAGGTAGAATAGGACTAATAATTACCCCTGAATTTCAAGTGATTAAGTTACTAAATCTAAATTTAAAGTTAAAAGTTTGCTTATTTCAATATTGGTTCATTGAAATTAGTATTTTTTAAAAATTTTTGAGTGTGTTTGGATAAAAAGTAGCACCTAATTATTTAAATTCGTAATTTATAGTAAGATGAAAACTAGTTCATCCCTTTAAGATAATGATCATTAAAAGCTAAATTGAATGATCTTTCATATCGTAAAAGCTTAAGATTTTTCTGTAGCAAAATGTGCTTTTTTTTTCAAAATACTTATCATCTTACAATAATATTTGAAGTAAAATATAATATATACGGAATAGATTAAAAATCCTGTAAAAAATAAAAAAAGAAAAAACGAAAAAATATAAATTAATACAGTAAATAAATATATGTAGCACATTACGATAAAGAGTGTGACATATATGTCAGTATGCCACTTTCGGCTAAATGTCCATTCGGTTAAATATCCGTCGGCCAAATGTCCGTCGGCCAAATATCCGAGTATCGCTATCTTCAATTTGTAGCTTGTATCTTGGGCTGTTCCACTTGCTGACAACCATAATTTTTGTATTCTTTCTTTTAGTTTTCCTTTAGAACCTTCATTAGGAGTTCCTAATGTTTTCTTGATGCGTCTACCATCAACACAATGCCATCTGCATATCTTAAGATATTGCTCACCAATAATAAATCCTGGTAGGACTTCTAGTTCCTAAGATCGCATCGTTGTAGAGCTAAAATAGATCCACTGAGAAACTGTATCCTTATCTTATGTTCCT